AACTTTTGAAGATCAAAGTTGGCTTCAAAGCATGGAGTTGGAAGAGTGTTTCACAAGCGAGAAGCTCAAGAGAAGAAACTGTTAGCATAGAACTTACAGTTTCATCTGGCCAATTCAACTATAAATAGATGAGACCTCGATATGAAAATAGATACATGTAAGTATGTATTCAAACATAGTTTTAGTTGTGATCTTGGTAAAGTGTATTGTCATTGAGAATTCCTAAGTCATTGTTTAATCCTAAATTGTGAATATTAAGTTTGAGAATGTAGTTTCTTTCAGGTTTTCTACATATGTATTGTGAATTTTAAAAAAAGTGGCTTGAAAGTTGCATCTAACTTTGCCTGCAGTATGAATGTTATGCTATAATAGAATAATTAGAGCTGTCCCCGATTGTCTCTTTCTGACTGTTAAATTGAAGTCGAAATTCAGACCATGTCTTACTGACATAATTGCTTCCGTCACAAAAGATACAATAAATCAGATAAACTTTGTCAGAAGTAAGTTGAGGGAATGTATTTAAATTTCTGTACCTGAAGGTATACAAGTTGTACTGGTAACAATGTGCTTACAGATTTGATATCATAGTATATCGGAGATGTATATTTAGTTTGCAGAGCGTTCGGTCGTTCCATCTTGAAAGTCGCGAGTAGTGATAGCAAATTGGGTTGTTATCTTACATTAAGTGGAGGTTCGATGAATGCATTATTAAGTAGGGAATCTAGTTTAAGATTTAGAAAATCTCTTTTGTGGAAATGAGACAATTTATATTAAGATTAAAATCAAAATTTTATCAGGTGCAACAGCCAAAGTATTCATGACTGTCGAATTCTCATTAACATGTGGAGGTTTTCATTAACATTTGGAGGTTTTCATTAAAATTTGGAGGTTTTCATTAACATGTGGATGTTTTCATTAACATTTGGATGTTTTCATTAACATGTGGAGATTTTCATTAACATGTGGAGGTTTTCGTCGCAAACATTATTTTTCTCATCCCACATTTAAATATTTGGGATTAAAAAAAAGTGGAAAAGCTTTAAATGTTTTATCTAGCTTTAGAAATGTTCTATGAACACCGTCATTAAAATATAGTTCTTCGTCAAGTTATCATTGGTAAAAGTCCGATCAGACAAAAGAAAATGGTGTATTAATGTCTTATCTGGGTTGGAGTTGTACAATCCTAGCTTTCCAGCCTTGACAGAGTTTTAAATCTTTTACACAGCTGTGCGGGGATTACTTATTTTCCACTCTACGGTCACTTTCGCCACAGACGCAATATCACAAACATAATGCTGCTCTATCGCTACGAGCTCTATTCTTACAGCCAAGGCCCAACTTGATCCTTCCACTGTGTTGAATTCACATCGTTCCCTTGTAATTTAGCAAGAAGAGTGTCCACTCCGAAAGCTTCTTCGCAAGAACGGTTACTGTTGTGGCCTGTTAGGGGCCAGAAAGGAAGACACGGAAAGAAGAAGGTAGGTTGAACAAGTGAATTGAAATAACAAAACATATATACAGAGTGTTATTAGAAATATCCGTCCGAAACTGTCAGGTTACACTGCGTCCCGACTGCCTCTGCTTAGGAAGTCTCGCAGGTTAGTATTTATGAAGGAGGAAGAGTTCATTCTAATGTAGATAGGCCACCATAACAGTTACTTCACAGAATAGACTCCCGCATGGATGCTTCCCGGAACATCTTAAATATAATATAATAATCTTAATATCATCATATCTAGAGTTATATATTCTATATATCCTTGTAATCTTTACTTTCTACATCCTCCTTTTATGTTCATATCAGTCACCTCACTATTTGAGTGGGTCTTGGGCCTTGTATAAAGTGAAAATTTAGTAAAGAAATATCACTGAATTAATTCATGTCTACTAGTTGATTTGCATTATGTTTGTTATACAAATTAGAAGTTTTTCTGGACTAAACTTTAAATTTGATGATCTGAAGTTGCTTCTATAATTGTTGGATTTTATGATATCAACCACTGAAAATTCTTTCCCTTTCAGCTAAAATCCTTACAATTTCACCTTATATAAGAATAATTTCAGTAAGTCGTGACTATAATAAAACTCTTTCCAAAGTGTACGAGTGGGGATCCAAAAGCAACCGGAATTGGGTCATATAATTTTATTCATTTATTGTTACATATTTATATTCTTATCATCTTCAAAGTATTCTTCATTTGAAGCAATGCACCGGTCCAGACGTGTTTTCCACTGTTCAAAGCAGTCCTGGAATTCTTGTGAAGTTATGTTTTTTAATGACTCCGTCGTTTTCTTCTTAACCTCTTCCGCATCTGCAAAAAGTTTTCCTTTTAGGACTTTCTTCATTCGGGGGGAACAAAAAAGTCGCAGGGGACGAGATAGGGTGAATAGGGAGGGTGGGAATGTGGAGTCATGCCATTCTTGGTCAGAAAGTGTCTCACACTCAAGGCGGTGTGCGCTGGCGCATTGTCGTAATGCAACCCCCCCACCACCACCACCACCACCACAACTTTGCCACAGGTCAGGGCGTTTTCGTCTCACCTTGTTTCGCAAACTCTTCAGGACTTCCAGGTAAAAAGCTTGGTTAACTATTTTGACCAGGAGGAACAAATTCTTTGTGGAGAATTCCTTTCACATCAAAGAAACAAATCAGCATCTTTTTGACATTGGACTTCACTTGACGCGCTTTTGGGGGGGGGTCGCGGTGACGTTGGATGCTTCCACTGACTTGATTGCTGCTTCGGTTCCGGGTCGTAGCCATAGCACCAGCTTTCGTCACCAGTGATGACCTTCGAAATAGGTCTGGATCAACTTCCAACTGTTCTTTCAGTTTACGACAGGCATCCTTTCAGCCATGGTAAAAATAGACGAAAAGGCGTGAAGCACTTCAAAACAATTGTGAACCACGATGACACCGGTTAGCACACTGATGCCTGGGGGTTGTCTCAAGTGGCATCTAGTGGTGGAAGCCTGAACTACTACGGGCTTGTCACAGAGAAAACGATTCCGGTTACTTTTGGGTCCCTCCCTCGTATTAGTGCGACATGAGCTCATCCAACCTTGGCTAGAAGGTAAATGCTGCATGTTTTATATGCGAATATGATACGCATTTTACAATAGCTTTTAAATGTTACATTAAGCAGAAAAACATAAAAAGGAAACAAAAATGGCCTCCCAATAACGATCAGATTTTAATGATCAAATTTTATATGCGAATTTGTTAGGTATTTTCATTTCAGACGTTTCATTAAGCAGTGATGCTAAAAGTAAACAGAAAATGCCTCCATATAATGATCAGAGTTCTTCTTGTTGGTATCTTTGTTAACGCAACAAAAACGTAACATAGCGGTTATCTGCCTGGAAAAAGGAATAGGTGTGGCAAGTTCAAATTCTAGTAGAGTTCGTTGCGTTCCCTTTCGCACAAAATCTATCTCTTCCCCTCCCTGACATAGGTTAAATAACAGAGCAGACTGGGCTCTCTAACCATTTTTGGTAAACCTTCTAGGAGAAAGACGATTCAAAGCTGGCTTGACTAGCAATCTATCACGTTAAATCTACATGCTCCAGCAACCATAGCAGCAACACCGAGTGGCCCCATTCTCAACTGGTTTGACATTAACGAGAAGGAGAAACTTAGTCAAATCGATAACATAGGATTATTTAACGTCGAATATATGTCTTAAACATCTGTAGAAGATTTTTCTAATTGGGTTCCTTCGGTAAGGTTATACGCTACTTTTTACCAAAATGTCATGTGAAAATATCACGCACATTTATCTGTGTTGCATATACCTAGTGTATATTTATCACATTGGTTTTCATGACGCATATGTAGGGCTTCGTAAATTTGTGTCCAAGATTAATAATAATAATAATAATAATAATATGTATATATATATATAAATTTAAAATAATAATAATAATAATAATAATAATAATAATATATATATATATATTAAATTAAATACCACAAACAAAAAAGTGTCTCATTGATATGGCAGTCCCTGCAGACTGCATTGTATCTTTGAAGATATTCAAAAAGCTTTCAAAATACAATACCTTGAAATAGAAATCTCAAAAATGTGTCACATGGGAACATCAACAATCCCTGTTGTATTTGGAGCCCTAGGATTGGTTGGAAAAGATTCCAGTAGACTAACTGAAGGGATTCCTGGAAGTCCATGCCTCAAAGATATACAAAAAATTGCTCTGGCAAGTACAGCCCACACTTTACGAAGGGCTTTATCTATGTATGTTTTTTTTTTTTTTTGTCAGTGGAAAGTGTCATGATGCCATTTCTGAACTTAGGTCCGTGGGCGGGACACGGAAAGAAATGTGTAAACGCCAGAAATCAAAGGAAATAATAATAATAATAATAATAATAATAATAATAAATAATAATAATACCCTGATGCTCTAGTAGTAATGGCCCTCATAGTTTCTGATCATAATTGATAGGAAGTTTTAACATGTATATGTTGTATCTAGAATTAAGATGGGACACTGCAAATATATCGTACAACACCACAGAATTACTTGACTTTAACCAGTTGGGCTTATCCCCTAGAGGAAGATGCACTTTGCATCTCTGTACATGAGTGGGGGGGGAGTGGGTGAGCACAATATCTTGGTATTGAGAGGGGTTTATGTTGAAAGGTTTAGGGGGGGTCAAGATTACTTAGAAGTCGCATCTAGATATTTTTAACGTTCTCAGTCGGTTGTCAGTTATTTTTGTTTAACGGCATATCAACCTATATGTAAAATTTAATGCCGAAATCTAATTATTTTCTCCGCAATTTTATTTATTTTTTTAGATAATAATGGTTTTAATGATAAAAGCCTTAGTAATTAACCTATAGCTGCGGGAGATGAGGTAGATTCTTATCTTTCCCAAGGTTATTTTTCCGTAAGAGAATATAACGAACTCAATTGGAATTGGAACATGGGTCACCAAATAACAACCCCGAGCCATTATCTATTACACCACCCGCACTTTCAAGCTTACAGCACTTGGTATTCCCAAGCGGTCAGCCATCTAGGTACTGACAGGCTTGACGCTACTTAAGTTCGGTGGTCGTACAGGAACCGGTGTTTCAACCTGATATGGCCGTATGCCCACACTCAGCTGGAGATCATCTGAATGGACCATGCATATTTGGATAGGTGCTTGATATACTCTTATAATACTAGAGGTCATGATAGGTATATTGTGCTTTGTATATTTTTAAGTCAGCGTCATTTTATTTATTTATTTTGGCGGGCTGTTATTTCACTCAATAGCACAAGTTTAGACAGTTTTTGCTCTGAAACAAGGATGTAAATAGGTGATTTTTTTTTTACTTTTTTGATGTGGTGAATTCAAATTTCCAAAACGTCTATATTTTTTTATTTCGCTTTCACTCATACCGTAAATAAATCAGCCATTGTTGATGCATCCTTAGTGTACTGTGGTGCCTGACGCCATTGTAGAAATATATAACAGTTCACAAAAATCTTAAAAATAAAATGAACATAGATCATATACAAAAAAAAAGAGTCGTTCGTAGTCGTGATCATCGTGTCAAGGCGAAGGATTATTACCTTAGCTGTATATTATATTTCACTACATACAGTTTTGAATTCAAAGTTTCCCTTCTTCTAGATCGGTTCAGTTCTGGGTATGACGATAAACTACATCCGGCAGCAAGGCCTTTTAACGGGAGATTGGAGGTTTTGACCAGTGTGGAATCAACTCTTAATTGCAGTTGTTTGCAGATTCACCCTTATCTCGGGTAGTACCTTTTAAAGTCCCAGCTATGGCCAAACTTTGAACCCCCAAACAAAACCCTATGAAAGTATAAAAATACATTTTTATAGTAAAAGTACCACCAATACATCTTTATATATAAAAAATGACTAACAATACATATTTATCGTAAAATTACTAGCTACATATTTATAATTAAATAACCAAGAATGCATATTTATAGTAAAATGACCTACAATACATTTTTTAAACAAAATGACCAGCAATACATTTTATCTGTGGTTGTAGGTATACAAAATATATGTAGTTGAAGCCATAAAATTATGTTCAAAATTATTTAGATTTCGATATTAAAGGACCCATAGGGGTTGATATGCCGCTCAACAAAATCAACCAATCAACAACCTAGACTGATTGCAACCAAGGCTATAGAACTCAGCTTCCTACTATTTACCCATAGCTGGGCGGAAAAGATTTAGATTCATACCTTTCCCAAGGTTATTAACATGTATTGAATGTAATGATCATATACAAGATATCCATCAATTATGTGCACAATTATAAAAATTCAAAATTGAAAAAAATGAAGATAACTCTATAGAGCTTATAGAAAAACAGAGATAAAAAAATAAATGTTTATTTAAACACCTCAGAACATTTCGATATCGAGTACATTCATAACACATAAAACGATGCTCAATTTCTAACCATGTGTGGTGCAGTACCTCCTTGTTATTGGCGTTTTGTTTTCTCGAGATCATTGAGGCCATGAAGTCTTGTATGATAGAGACTGTCTTTAAAGTAGCGTCCGTAAGAAGCATTCTCTAGGGGTTACATTTGGTGATTGGATGGCCAGGAAAATGGGTCACCTTTTCAAATGCACCAGTTTTGAAACGTTTTATTGAGAAACTCATAAACAGCCAGCCTCCTAATGAGGCGGTGAACCAACCTGCTAGAAAATGACTGTCGGCTGCAAGGGATGCAAATGCGAGACAAAAACATTCTTCTAAAAGATCAAGTTGACACTAATGGATAAAATAGAATGTGGAAGTTGTACAGACAATTTATGGACACCCTGGATATATTTACATGAATAAATCACTATAAATATGTATGCAACATATAAAATAGTTGTATATAGGTATAAGACATTTTAGGACTGATAAATATAAGAGATTTTAATTTCTAAAAGAGAGCATTTTGATATATTACGAACCTGTCAAAGTATGAACTTGAATTCAACATCCATAACTTGATCTTAGATAACTATTTATAGAGTTTATTACTGAAACATTTAAATCTTTTGGGTTTATATATATATATATATATATATATATATATGTGTGTGTGTGTGTGTGTGTGTGTGTGTGTGTGTGTGTGTGTGTGTGTGTGTGTGTGTGTGTGTCTGTGTGTGTCTGTGTATGTGAGCGTGCACGGGGTAAATTAGAAAGACAAACTTATTGTAACTGCGATAAAATCTACATTCTGTTGTGATGGTGATTTTTAAAAACGCGCTCTGTAATAATTTTTTAAATTTTAAATTTATCCGTTGTAGCTATGGAATCTGTTACAAAACAAGCGTTCCAATATAAGAGAGCTGACCAGAAATGAGTAGAAATGCAAAATGGTATTAAATGTCTGTTAAATGCACTTCAATACGTTTCTGCTGCTCTTGTAATAAAATTTTGTAGAGTGTTAGTTGATTGATTTTAATATTTTGATTTTGTATGTACATGTATACATGTATATCGCAAACATTAGAGTAATGAGTGAAAACTGATATCGTATCTGAAATCAGCTCCCCAAAATTAGGTTAGAGCACCTGTTTTTATGCTTACCTCATTTTTTTTATAAACAAGTTTAATTTAGCCACCAGTATCGACTCACTGTGTAATTTGGATAAGTCTGGTTGAAAACACCCATCCTTGTCTTAAACTCCGTTCTATTTTTATATATTTACTGAACTCCTTTTCTATCCGTATGCAGGCAGTCTCCTGTCAGCATAGGTTCTGAATTATTCTAATATCCTTCCCAAATATTTTTGGGTTACCTAGCAGTTGCAATAGTTGTTTACGACGTAATTTAGCAAACGATTTTACATGATCTGTAAAACAAAGGTACACATCCTATTAAAAAAACAAAAAAAAACAGCATCCACAAATCTATAGTTTACGCATCTATGTAGACATATACGTACAATGTATACATAAATATCTGAAAAATTAGTGTTGATGAGTTAAAATGAATATCGTATCCGAAATCGGTACCTCAAAATTAGGTCAGAACAACTAATTTCATACTTAGCTATTTGCTAATATCAGCTTAATCTGACATAGGGAAAACCTTAGTGGAATGCCTAGCGAGAATCGAACCTAAGCACAAGTGAAATGACCTGTGAAAGGAACTTGCTAAATATCATGCTACGGTAAATAGCTTAGCTTTATAGACTTGTATATAGGTGTAGATTTATGACCAGTTTTGCTTTACGACGTTGGATCAATTGTGATAATATTAACTGTCGTTAATGTTGATTTGGATTCATATGATTTTCTCTTTCCAGCTAAAAACGTCTCATCAATTTACAGTTGAATTGGCTAGATGTAACGGTAAGTTCTATGCTAACAGTTTCTTCTATCGTACTTGTGAAACACTCTTCTGGCTCTATGCTTTCCAGCTAACTTTGATCTTCAAAAAATTTTAATACAATGTCAATTGTTATCTGCTATCGTCCTGATCACTCTTCTATTTTTATCACTCCTTAATAATGTTTCTGTTACGTATTTCTTTCACACCCAGTTACCGCTTGTGTCTTAGTGACTTTACTAACTTGCTTGGGGTGAATTCGATTAAAAAATAACAATGCAAAAAATTACAAAATGAGCTTGAGGTAGTGGTGTTCTCGTTAGTTCAGTACTTGGCAGAATTCATCCTTAACATCGACAACCAAACGTGACTATATAACGAATGTAGCAACGACATATAGTGTATATAACATTTATATACTAATGCCATTTCCACCAATTGCCTGACAGCTCTCTTATAGTGAAACACTTGTTTTGTAAAAAAAATCCTTGACTAGAACGATTGAAAATTTAAAAATTCTAAAATAATTATTACAGAGCGCGCTTACGCGTGATTTTAAAAATCACTATAACAAAAAAAAAACAACAAAAAACGTAGATTTTATTGCAGTTACAATAACGTTTTTCTTCGTAATTTACCCGTGAAGATGATCTTAGAAAAAGTCGAAAGTACTCGGTTTAAAAAAAAATATTCGGCGCTTTCATTAATGGAATTCATCTCAACATCCAGAAACTAATTAAACAATTACAAAATATCAATATATAAATAAGTAGACACAATATATTTATATTATTCAACGAAACATGTTTAAATGAAAATATATTATATATATATATATATATATATATATATATATATATATATATATATATATATATATATACTTTAATATATATACTTTAATATATATACTTTAATATATATATGCTGAAGTTTTGCATGATATATATTGTGTTGTATATTATTTGTATAAAATTATCAGATGTTTTGGGAATTCATTTGTTTGGGTTATTCTCGTCCTTTCTTCTGTACTGTTAAGGTGTTGGTAAGTCAGTTTACTAATATAAGCCTTATAGAGTGGAAAAGAACAATATATTTATTTTCTCTTTCCATGCCCACCATTAAATCTATCCAAAATCTATATGCTGTCTGCAGACAAATTCATCTACAGTATGGTCAAGTTTGTAACTAGACTGGCTCTATCATACTCTGAGACCATGAGCTTACTGTTTTAATTTATACATTAACGGACTGAATGTGATTAGCTTGTAATATAAATATACATGTATTAATATATAGATATCATATCATGGCTGGACATTTGGCCGACAGACATTTGGCAGACAGACATTTGGCTGACGGACATTTCACCGAAAAAGTACAAGTAAAAATAGTAACAAGCAATGATTTAAGTATTTTAATTTGCCTTATTATAATGTAGAATAGGACTAATAATTACCACTGAATTTCAAGTGATTAAATTACTAAATCTAAAGTTTTCTTATTTCAATATCCTTTTATTGAAATTAGTATTTTTAAAAATATTTGAAAAGTGGCACCTAATTATTTAAATTCGTTTTTAACAGTATGATAAAAGCTAGTTCAACCCTTTAAGATAAGAATCATCAAAAGAAAAATTGAAAGATCTTTCATATCGTAAAAGCTTAAGATTTTTGCTGTAGTAATATGTGCTTTTTCTCAAAATACTTATCCTGTTACAGCAATATTTGAAGTAAAATATAATATAAACAGAATAGATTTTAAAAAAAAAAAGCCTGTCAAAA